CAACAGCACTAAACTTTTTTACAACAGTAATATTGGTTACAAATTGAAAAACTATTAGAAGAGAAAGAAAAAAAATAGGTAATTATAGTGAATTACTTAAATGCACCAATTTCAGCTTCTGGGAACAAGTAGGCAGAAATAAACAAACAAAAAAGAGGTAGGAAGAATTTAAATGATACAATTACTAAAGTATTGTTAATAGATATAAATAGAAATCAACATTTTTAAAGCAGACGGCACACAAGGATGCTTAAAGATTTTGTTTTGATCAAAAAATAAATTTGAATATGTTTAAGAAGCAGAAATAATAGATATCCCATTTCTTGATAGACAGGAAGAAACAGATGCTGTTAGTAAAAAAATTTAGACCAAAAACCAGTAAATCTGCTATTAGTTCTTAATAGAAAAACCCTATTAAACATGTATTACCACTTTTTTTCTGATTTCTGGGAAACCATCAAATGTAAGACAAGCTACTATCTGCATAACAGATTTATTAGGACTGCTAGGAAAAGAAAATTAACTATACTTAAGAAATTCTTGCATTTTATGTAGATTTGGGTCAGAAATCGAAATCCCTTTTTTTTTTTAGTTTCAATAAAAACTGGCATCTGGTTTATCTTTCAGATTTTTAAAATTATGCTAAAATACACACAACATAAAATTTGCTAGCTTTACCATTTTTAAGCGTGCAGTTCAGCAGTGGTAAGTATTATCCATCCACACTGTGGTGCAACCCATCTCCAGCGCTCTTCTTTCTATCTTGCAAAACTGAAAGCTCTGGACCCGTTGGACAATAACTCATTTTCCCGTCCCCCGTGTCCCTGGCAACCACCGTTCTACTTTCGGTCTCTGTGATTTTCGCTACCCTAAATACTCTTACAAGTGGAATCACACGGTATTCATCTTTTGTGACTGGTTTATCTCGCTTAGTATAATGTCCTCTGGGTTCACCCACGTGATGTCAAACACACTTTGAAAATGTCTTGCGAGGATTGTTTTTCTTATGTTATCTATTCTTATACATTTATTGATAGATTTCCTAATAATCTAGCTTCCGTTTGTAGATTTACCCCTGCTTGGTCACAGTATTCTTTAATGTGCTCTGAATTCAGTAAAGCGATACCGAATGTATATGCATGTCACAACCGTGCTCGGCCATAGGTTCCTTCTGGGGTTCTCTTTCTTGGGAATTGGTATCGAAGCTCCCCAACCAGGCAGATGTCCTTATTTTCTGATAATCTGGGGGAGTTAATTCTATTTGATACAGCCACTTCCTAGAACATGTGCTATCTTTTTCCTGATTGGTTTATTCCTAATTTTATCTCCATTCATTATTTCATTATCTTTCCCACGGAGGCTTCCTTGTGCTTCCGCTTTCCTGGAGTTTATTTTCTCTGCGTCTTGGTAAAGAATCACAGCACCGACGGTTGTTTCTTTCTGGTTATAGATTTGGCACTCTTCCATGGGTTTCCACATGTCATATTATCTTTTCGTAATTGTTTATTAACAATGTACATTTTATTTCCTCCTTAACTTATCATAGTTCCTTGATTTAAGAGGCTCGTTTTCTCATATTTTAACATTTTCAGAATTGGTTTGTGACTTCAATATAGGAGACCCAGAACACATAGGAACAAATAAATCAACATCTGTTCAACTTAACTGATGGATGCATGGAACCTGTTAATTAATTCTTTGCATATATATGTGTGTGTGTGTGTGTGTGTGTGTGTATTCAAAATGTCTTATAATTAAAATAATTTAACTATAGACTTTTAAGAAAGAATAAGCTCAAGAGAGGCATGGAAAGGAAATAGAGAAGAAAACAATTAATTCAGCATGTCCTTTTCACCAATGAAGGAACTGAGGTCATTTTCGAGGGAGTTAACGGTCACGGAGCTGGAGCATCGTAGGGGGTCGCTGGGGAAGCTGTGCAGGGAGCGCGTCCTCTGAGGGGAGGGTCTTCCACGGCCGAGGGGAGGAGGGGGGGACAGGCACGGGCTGAGAGCAGCCACCGAGACCAGTGCCCCTCACGCAGGAGCAGGCTCTCCCCTTCTGGTCTTTAAATTGGTACAAAAGTCGAATCACAGCTCCTTACAGGCCCCCTGTGAGATCTGGAACACCCGCCACCATCCACTCTTTCGGACTAAGACAATGCAAAATTCTTTTTTTTCTTTTTGAGACAGAGTCTCGCTTTGTTGTCCAGGCTAGAGTGAGTGCCGTGGCGTCAGCCTCGCTCACAGCAACCTCAAACTCCTGGGCTCAAGCAATCCTCCTGCCTCAGCCTCCCGAGTAGCTGGGACTACAGGCATGCACCACCATGCCCGGCTAATTTTTTCTATATATATTAGTTGGCCAATTAATTTCTTTCTATTTATAGTAGAGACGGGGGTCTGGCTCTTGCTCAGGCTGGTTTCGAACTCCTGACCTCGAGCGATCCTCCTGCCTCAGCCTCCCAGAGTGCTGGGATCACAGGCGTGAGCCACCGCGCCCGGCCTACAATGCAAAATTCTCAGGGGGTTAAATTCCTGGGGAAGGTAACGCCTGAGCCTGGCATCACCTTCAACACCTGGGGCTCAGTTTACCCCCTAGACTGGATTGCTGGCCGTCTTCCAGGACCCTGATGGAACCGCGCACAGAGCAGCTCCCTTCGGAGGGGAGATGACGGGTGGAGAAGCCCACCACGTTGGCGTCTGCCCGAGCGCAGGGTCTGCTGAGGACTGGGGGCTGGCGGGGTGGGCAGAGGCGACAGGGCGTTAACGCCAGGCTTTAGCCACGTCTCGTGATTGCCAAGTCTGGGATGTGCAAAAGAAAGCACGCGAGCCTCCTTCAGGGTCAGAGTTCACGGCACACCGAGCAGGTGCCCAGCCCTGTTTTCTTCCTCAAACCTGATACAGAAAATGTCCCAGCGGGACGAGGCCGCTTGCCGCCTCCCTGTCTCTCTGCATCTCCGCGGGCCAGCGCTGCACGTGGCCAGTTGGAGGGCGCCGCTGCTGGGGCCAGGCCCCGTGGCAGAGAGCCCCCGGGACCCCAGTGCAGGAATGCCCCCAGGCCCGCCTGCCACTGCCTGTTTCAGGCCACGCTGCTTGCGTGATCCTGATTGGGTAGTTTTTGAATCCCACTGTTGTTGATTGGATGTTAAAGCTTGGTGTTGATTGGATGTTAAAACTTGTTGTTGATTGGATGTTAAAGCTTGTAGTTGATTGGATGCTTTTTGAGCCCTACCAAGGGTATAAAAGCAGGAGGAGCGGAGGAGAAGGGTCAGAAGATCGGAAGACACGAAGAATGCTGTAGAAGAATAAAGGCTGTTCTCCGACTCTTTGTGTGCCTGCTTGATTCTTTCCCTGGTCAAACGAATAACAGCTGTAACAAGGGCTGTACACATTGTCGCAAAACCCATGGAAAACCCTTTCTGACCAAGTAACAATTTGCTGGCTTTTAAAATATCAGAGCTAGAGGAAGTATTTAAGACGTTATCTATCATGGAATACCTCACTGAAACGATGTCTAAATGGCTTTGCCAATCTACTTTCTGGAGATTAATAATAAAAATAAGATTATAAAATACTGGAGGTACTTTTTATTTAAAATTATAATTATCTTCATTTGCTGAAGGCTTGATTTTATTTCATAAAATGGCTTATTTTCAACAGTAGAAATGAAGAATAAACATGATTAGACATGTGTACGTTAAAAATGACAAAATATTAAAATCACAAGTCAATAAATATGCTTAGAAAACAGTAATCTAATGCAACTGGTGTTTTGTCTGGGTGTTTAGCCTCAGCATTATTTCATTCATATAAAGCATTACGGGGAAGCTGGGGTGTAGAACAGTAAAGGGCAGAGCTGTGCTGGTTGAAGGTAAAGTAGCAGAGCTAGAGGTGGCCCATTTGGGCCCTGTGTCAGTCAGCTTTTGCAGTAATAATGCTACGTAACAAACAACCCCAAAGTTTTACCAGCTACAACCACAAACATTCCGTAGGTCTGTGGATGGCTGCTCTGGCTCTACCCCAGCTTGGGGGCAGGCTCAGACCTGCTCTGCATGCATTCCCATTGTCGGACCAGGCTGAAGGAGCAGCTCCTGCCTAGGGCTTGGTGTTCTCACGCCAGGGAGCAGGTGTGCGAGAGGTTCAAGTGGACACATGAGATGCCTCTTAAAGCCTCTGCCCAGAACTGGCATACTGTCACTTCCACGCAAATGCCACCGGGCAGAGCAAATCATACGGCCATTGCCAGCACCAGGGAAGTGGGGAAATGAACCCCTGCTATGGAAACAGGTGGAGCTCTTGCTGAGCTAAAATATCATCTCCCTCTCCCTCTCGCCCTCCTGTGGGTCTTCGATCCCTTCCATAGAACCCTAAGGTGCTAAGAAGTGAAGTTTTAAAGTAGACAATCACACCCAGCTCCCTTCCTTTTGCAGACGTGGAAAACGAGGCCAGGGATTGCTCAGGGTGAAGCCTGCGGCACCTGGTGATACACCCAGAACCGGGATGTGATTTTCCCAACCTGTCGTGCAGTGCTCGGTCCAGCAGGAGACAGCGCCTCTCTCCTGAGTGGTACTGCTCCAGCTGATGAAGTGTATCTCTGATATCCTTAAAATGTCGGGACCTCATAACTTGTTAGAGGGAGCACAGTGAGTCTATTAATTAACTTGTGCCCGGAGAAGATTCAGCCCTTCTATTCATACCCTCTGACTTCATCCATGTCAGAAGCTTCTCAGCAAAGATCTCCTGCCAATCTCAGTCGCTGCGCCGGGTCTAAGGCTCCCCGGGACAGAAGACAAGATGAGAGTTTGGGAGGAAATAGAGGGTTTTGCTTTGTTGTCGTATTTGTGGTTGAGTTTTGTCTTGTGTTTTCAATGTCATTTGGTTTCTTTTTTAACCTGGGATATTTTCCTGATCAACATGAGAGAGCCCATCATGTAGTCTGTTCTATAAAAATGACATGCGATTCCCAGGAAACTCTGGAGAAGTTATAGACACACGCAGTGGAAGTGAAGAACAGCCAGTTTTATGTTTCTTAAGATTCCAAAAAAGATGTGTGTGTGTGTGTGTGTGTGTGTGTGTGTGTGTTTAATGTAGTTAGCAAACACGTCTCAAAGATTCGCAAACTCTCGTTTCCCCGGCCATTAAGAGTCTTCGTGCCAGTTTGGGGATTGCAGTGAGGGGCTTTTGTGAGACCTTCGCACTTCCTTTCAGAGAGAGGAGCGCTGAGAGATCAGCCTTCCGTAGAAACTGGCGAAAGACTTAAGCAAGGCCTTTTGCTCCTTCCGCTGCTAAACGGCAGAGAGCAGCAGCCCCACACTTGACTAATCCGTCAGGAATGAGCTTCTGTATTTTGCGGGGAGAACCCGGTTGCCGACCGACTGGCCGTTCGTTAGCCTAGTGAGCCCACGGCTTGGGGGCGTCGGAGGACGCGGGCGCCGGCGTGTCCTGTCTCCCCTGGAGGCAGACAATAAGTACCACCTTCACCCTCCCGGCTTGATGTCCCACGGCCTGAGGATGTCACGAGCAGGCGAGAGAAAAGCTCTTGCTGGGGTGGAGGTTCGTCCCTCCCTCTGAGTGACCGGAGAGGAGGGACGGGCAGGGGAGAGAACTGGCGTCCGAGGCCTCCGTCGCTCCTTTCCAGAGCGCGAGATGCACAGTGAGGGAGCCTCGCCTTTGAGGGCGGTGCCCCAACATTCTCCTGGGAAGCTCTCCCTGCCATCAAACCAGCCCCGCCGCCCCAGAAGCAGGCAAGTTTATAATCCAGCCCAGTCACTGTTGGTGAAACACCGAATCTCAATGACCTGGATCCACACAACCCAGCTGATGTCCGAATGCCTGGGCGCCTGTCAACGTCTCTGTTCCTTACATTTCATCTGTCCCAAAACTAAAAAAAAAGAAGAAAAAAAAGTAAATTATCGAATGAGACATCAGCTTTGTTTCAGAACTAACTCAAGATCCCCGTCTCGTCTCTGTGGCTCTTCCAGTGGGAGATATAATAGTTATTATAATCCGAGGCAGCCTTTGAGATCAGTCTCTAGCATTTTAGATTTTAAAAGTTGGTGTAAAATAATACCACATAGCATAGCCTTAATTTAATGGATAATTAAAAATCAGCAAGAAGAGCTGATTTTACCACGTTTTTTCTCTAGCACGGAAGCAGAATTCTGACAAGGCCCTGAAGACTGCCTCCCTCCCCCCTCGAGTGTGGGTGGGATGGTGAATACGATGGATTTCACCGTTGTGGTCTGGTTATGCCATGTGGAAAAAAGTAAAAGGGTTTTTCTGACATAATGAAGTTATGAAGAATTTACGTCGATCGAAAGGAGGTGACGCTGGGTGGGCCTGACCTAATCAGGTGGGCCTTTACAAGAAGAGGGAGAGTCCAGGCAAGCGTGCACACCCTGTGCACCGCCGGGCGGTGGGCGGGACCACGTGGCAGAGCACAGCTCCGTGTCTGAGAAGGGGCCATGGACCTCAGTCCCGCAGCCACGAGGAGCTGAGTTTTGCCAATAACCTGCGTGAGCTTGCAAGAGAATCCCTGGCCTCAGATGAGAGCACAGCCCTGGCCCAGAGGTGGCGAAACCTGGAGCTGCGGGCTCAGCTAGCCCAGGCCACAGGCCTCACCCACAGAGACTGCGCACCAAGCCTCCAGTTTTGTGGTGAGTTGTTACACAGCACGAAAAACATACTCACTTAGATCCAACGTTGAATCCTGGCAATGCAGACCTGGAAAAGTTTCTTTTTAATTTATTTACTTATTTTTATTTCAGGGTATTACGAGGGTACAAACATTTTGGTTACATTTTATATCATTGCAATCACCGCAGCAGCAGCGAAAATAAATAAATGGGACCTGATCAAATTAAAAAGCTTCTGCACAGCCAAGGAAACTATCATTAGAGCGAATAGATAGCCTACAGAATGGGACAGGATATTTGCTCTCTGCACATCCGATAAACGGCTGATAACAAGAATCTATCTAGAGCTTTAAAAAAATCAGTAAGAAAAAAATCAAACAACCCCATCAATAATTGGGCAATGGCAATGAACAGAAATTTTTCAAAAGAAGACAGAATGATGGCCAGCAAACATATTTAAAAAATGCTCACCATCTCTAATCATTAGAGAAACGCAAATCAAAACCACCATGGAAAAGTTTCTTTATTCACAAGTCACTTCCTTTCCGGTTACTGCTGTGCTGAGAGACCTCAGTACTCCGCCCGCCCCCACTCCACCTAGCACAAAAACCCGACGGGGCCCTCAGAGGACCTCAGAACCCTCCAGAAGGAATCGACAGGATAGAGTCGGTGGGAAAAACACAGCCAGGTCCGAGATGGGGTTGACGGCGTCATCGTCACACGTTCAGGGCAGAAATTACACACTGACAGGCCTGGGCCCCGTGTACCCTGCAGAGGTGGTTTGCTTGGCCGACGTAGTACTTTAAAATATAGATCTGTTGCCAATACGTAAACATTAAAAAGATTTTACACAAAAATTGGAACTTCTGGCTTTTCTTGCAACTTTGAAAGATGGACAACGCTAGCAGTGGCCCTTTCAGTGGGATGGCCACCAAAGTCCCCTTGGCTCCAAATCGTTTTGCACCTGGGCTGTTTCACTCATGAGCTTTAAATGCCAGGTCCCCAGAGATCACGGGTTTGGGGTGCGGGTGGGACCGTGTCCCCTGCAGGGACCAGCTGGCAGCTCCACAGCGAGGACGCAGAGAGGGTCTGGTGCACGGGCAGGGGCTGTCCTTTCCTCCAGCAGCGATGCCATGCACTGGCACAGCCCCGCCCGCCCGCCCTGCCAGGGCGAAGGAAGCAGGAGGGGAGGGGAGGAGGGGCGTTGGCCGCCTGCCAGGCAACCCCTGCTTCTCTAGCAGGTATTAAGGCGCAGAAAAATGAGCTGCCGAGCCCGGCTGGAGCCCGCTGGGCGCTGAACAAAGAACGAACTGCTGGTGACTCCCGCCTGCAGCTCTGAGCTTGCCACACACAGCGGGCCACGCGCAGCCTGCGACCCCACACCCGCTCCGGGTCCTCTGCAGCCCGCAGCAGCCTGGTAGCGGCGTGGTAGCAACAGCGGTGCCTCAGCTGGAGAAGGAGCGGGGAGGCAGAGCAGGGAGGAAGGCTGCGGCTTGGCTGGGGCTTGGTGCAGGACTGTGCCTCCCGCAGCCCAGCGGCCCCCCGCGTCCCCAGGCGGTGCCCGGCCAGGCTCCCGGAGAGGAGTCCGCCCGGCATCCAAGCGGCACTGATCAAACCGCAGCCCTCGTTCTTGGCGCCCGTGTGCGCGCAGGCTCCAAGCAGCCTTTGTCCCTGGCCCCGCAGCCTGGCTGTGCGGAGAGAGAGGCCGGCACCCCAGCAGCTGCCAGGGCCTTGGGAGGGAGAGGGGCAGAGGCGGGGGCAGAGGCCGCGGTGTGGAGGCAGCAGAAACCGCGCTGCCCGGCTTGCCCGCGGGCAAAGGCACGGACACGCAGGCCTGAGCGGCGCGGCCTGTCGTCCCGGAAGCCCCTCCCCAGAGCTCTCCAGGGCTGGAGGGAAAAGCTGCCCTGGCCCAGTTCCCAGCCCAGCCAGCGTCTGCTCGCTCTGCCTGCCGCTAAGGCGCCCTCCTTGTAGACTTCGCCACTCACCTGGGGCCCCTGCACATGTGGGAGGCAGATGGAAGGGGTGCGAGTGTGGCCCTGAGACCCCTGGCCGGGGAGACGCCATCCCTGATCTGCGGAAACAGCTGCCAGGGCCGCTGGTTCCACTGAGTGACGGACCCCCTCCTGTTCGTCCTTGGAGGCCTGTCTCTCTGGCGTCCTGGGGGCCCGGTGTGGGGTGGACACAGGGCGATGCTGTCCCGCCGCCGTTTGGGCCCAGAGCCGGGTCCTCCTGTGTCCAGAACAAGGGCCACCGCGCTGTGACGTCCACCTGGCAGCAGGCCCGCGTCTCCCAGGTCACCAGCGCCGGCCGCGCGGGTCAGTCTGCGGCAGTCTCACACCTCGCAGCCACCGTGCTCCTGGATCTTACCATCTCGAGGGGACACAGAGCCCGGCCGCCGTCCTAACCGGAGGTGCCAGAACAGACAGCCGCGCCCAGACGGGGGCCAGGAAGACAGCAGCCTCCTGCCGGGTAAGGAAACACGGAGGGAAGGAACGTTTAAACTGCAAAGCTCAATCCGAAGGCGGGAAGGGGCGATTAAGCAGAGCTACTGCTTCAGTGCCAGAACCGGAAATGTAGACGATGTGTTCTCCAGTTGGTGTGGGGCTCAGGGTCCCAGGTAGTCTGCACTCACTTGCACGAGGCTCTTATCGTCTTACTCATGCTTGAGACCAGCCCATCAGGAGCCAGTGACATTCGTCTTGGAGCCGCTCAGGGCGGCCCCGTGCACAGGAGAGCAGCTTGCACGGCTCTGCGGCTCGGCCTGCCGTCCCCGGACGTCCAGGAGTGGCCCAGCGCCAAGCTGCTTCCTGGGCAGCTTCGGACAGACCCGTTTCCTGTGCGGAGGGAGCGGTCCTCCCGGGACTGGGAGAACCCTCCGGTTCCCGTGGGGAGCTTTGCCTTCCCAGTGTGCGCAGAGAGGGGTTCTCAGCAGGGGAACGCCCTAAACGCGTCCTCCCGGGCTCGGGAGCTACGGAGGCCCCCGCCAGGGCCGCTGGTGTTCCCCCACCGCCCCAGGGGATAGGCCCCCTTCCTGGGCTTCCACGTGGCACAGTTCCTCCTGTGCCGTTTTGCAATCGTGGCCCGAGACGCCCTGTGCTGCAGCGGAGTGGACAGACACGGAGCCCACGTGAACCGGTGGGTGAGGGCCTTTCAGCTAAGGGGGAGAATCTTGGGAGAAAACTGCCTTTGCAAGGCCTGGCCCTCCGAATAGAGATACCCTCGCCGGAATGGCCGGGCGGGACGTGTGTGCAAAGCCCCATGCAGAGGCTGCAATTCACTTCCTGAAATTTATCTCTTTTTTTCCTGTTTCCTCCTTTAAAAGTAAAGGCACTGCCAGAAAAATCTCTTCTATCGAGCACATGCACGTGGTGTCTTCACGGAATCACGCCTCACTCTCAGCCACACCGCCGTGGACTGCCGCTGGCTAGGGGTAAGGGTGCGCCACGAGCCAGGCACCGTGGGTGAAAGGGATCCTCCCGGCTCAGCCGCGTCGGGTCGCGGCAGCCAGGGAAACGGCACCTTCCAAGGCCGGGCGGTCTGAGCGGGGTGGACCGTGGCGAGTGCTCACCGCCACGGCGCCTGCGTCCCTTGAGACGCGGCCCCCGGGATAGTTACATGGCTTGCATGGTTTTTTTTTTTCCCCCTGTTGAACAGCAAACTGTTTGTTTCACATTTTTAAAAGTGAATTTGAAAAAAAAAAAATTTTTATTTTTAATCTGCAAACAGAGAACCTGGACAGGAATATAAATCCCTTCCTGGAAAACGCGCGTCCCGCCCTGCCCTCCCTCCTCGCCCTGACGAGGAACGCGCGCGTAGCGATCTGCCAGCCGCAGCGCCGGGCACGAGGCTCAACATCTGTCGCCGAGACGCCGGGGAGGCAGCGGAGGGGAGGCTGGCTGCCTGCCAAGCCTGAGACTCCAGATTTTTGCTGACAAGGCTGTCGATAAATGGGCAGATGGCATCAGCCCTGCTGGCGGGACAGTTCGGTTAACCCCATGTGGGACACTGTCTCGAATTCATGGTGTGCCAGGCTGAGCCCTTTGTCGGGCCATGGAAGCCATTTCTTGATGGAGGAGGGAGGGCAGGACTAGGACTCAGGAGGCGCTGGCTTCACTTAATCAGATTAACTAAGCCTCCCGCAGCTGCTGGCAGAATAAGATCGGTCCTTGTGTCCACGGAGGAGAGGTGGCTGCCGGGGGAGGGTGTGTGTGTGGGGTGGGGAGTGGGAGGTGTCTCATTCACAGGTTGCATTTTATGCCATTTAAACTCGGGGTTCCAATCCTCAGTAGCTGTGCAAACCTCTGCAAAGAGAACTTAACCCCAAATAAACCACTCGCAGGAAAGACCTGTCGTCCGGTGAGAGCTCTGTGCAAAAGCGTGAGCTCAGTGCCAGCGGCGTGCGGGTGAGAAGCCGGCCGGCGTGGGCTTCGCGTCCTATCAAGCCTGGGAATAAGCAGCACAGCCAGCCCTCAGGGATGTCCTCTGCTGGTGACTCGGGGACAAAACCCTTTCCTGTCCAAGAGAATGATTAAAAGCTGCGAGAACAGAAGCTTGTGGTTGCACGTCATCTGGAGAGCATGGGGCCGAGACAGATCTTGCAGGGTGATCTGAGGCAGGTGGCTTAGACCAGGGGTCCCCACCGTATGGCGAGTTGTATAATCGTCTCATTATATATGACAACTTAATAATAGAAATAAAGTGCAGGATAAATGTAATGAGCTTGAATGAACCCCAAACCGTCCCCCTGACCCCCCCAACCCCACGTCCGTGGAAAAACTGTCTTCCACGAAAACGGTCCCTGGTGCCAAAAAGGTTGGGGACGCCTGGTCCAAACAACTCTCTCTACTTCCCCATCTGCAAACCACTCAGCTGTTGGAGATAACAAACGAGATGACTGCACACAACTGCACGGCATTCTGGAGTTACGAAGCGCTCTTGCATGCTTTACGACCGCGGTGGTCAGCTGGGAATGATCCTGCCCTCCGGGGGACGTGGGCGATGTCTGGAGACGCTACCGGCATCTGGTGGGCAGAGGCCAGGGTGCTGCTGAGCATGCTCCGATGAACAGGCCTGCGCCCTCCACAGAGAGTTGATTGTTCAGCCCAGAATGTCAGCAGAGCCAAGGCCAAGCCCTGCATCAAGATGGTGTGTAAGTGGAACTCGTTCATGCTCCCCGAAGATGAGGGAGAAGGGAGAGGGACTAGCGGGCGTGGAGGGAGAAACCTAGTACCTCTTCTTAGCACCCCGAGTGGACCCACTGCAGAGTCAGTATGCTAGCAGTGACTTGTCATTTTTAACCCTTCACTAAAGCACCAGTCCCCCCCAATGTCTTCCAGCTAGTCGTATTAATCACAGTCAAATAAGGAAATAATCACATCCGTAAAAGGCTTTGCAGTGTAGTTGGCTGTTACAAGTGAGAGCTTGCATCCGCCCCTGACTGGGCATATAGGAATTCGGATAGAAGCATAGAGAATCTGAGACTAAACAGGACTTGGGGAGTTAAAAGGAAATCGAGAAGATACAAGAACCTACCGGGTTAGGCGCTTGGGGTGCAGCTACAAACCTCGTCTCTTTCTCTCGTCTCCTCTTTGATTTGAACTGCGTCAGACGGGAGGAGAGGAATCGCCCCTGTTTCGAAGGTGTAGCTGCCCCCTCCAGCCGTTGGTCAGTGAACCTCTGACCTACCCATCTCTCGTCAGTGTATGGATGGACTGTGTCCCCCCAAAATTCCTAAGCTGCAATCCTAACTGCTAGCGCCTGGAAATGGGGTCAGTGCAGATGTGCTTAGTTAACAGGAGGTCATATTGGAGCAGGTTGGGCCGGGGAGTTATATAGGCAGGTTCCCGGTTTAGAAAAGTCATTTCGGCATTGATAAGGAGGCATGAAGACCAGCGGGAAGGCTGGTGCCTGATCCGTCGGTGGGGATCCCCACGGAAGCCGCACAAAGGGGTGGCGGGGGTGCGGACTTGCAGTGTGGGCTGTGGGAACACTGACGGCACTGCGGCCTGTGAGATCCGGGCGCCGGCGGGGAGGGCGGAGCCAGCAGTGGAACCTGGCGTGTCTGGTATCACCGACCAGGTGTTCCTCGGTGACGTTTCCTGCGACAGGAAACCCAGAAGGAGACCCGAGTGAGTTCTGTTCCTCACATGGGGGCTGGGGGGTGGAGGGGCCTTCCCTTCCTCCCCGTCCTGAGTCTACACTCGCAACCCCTCCCTAGGCCAAGGAAAACCCCTCTCTGTTCCCCCACGTGTCCCCCGCCCTCCCAGACCTCGGCCTGGTGCTGCCCCACAGCTCCGGAGTCCCTTCTCCGCCCCTTCCACCTTAGAGCTTGCTCGGGGCCTTGGGGACCGGGCACCTGTGACCGCACGGCGGGAGGCGAGCTCCCTCAGCTCCGCCCGCCTGGGGTGGGGCGTCCGCAGGGCTGCGCTGGAGCTTCTTAGCCAGGGTTTTCGGGCTCGGGGCCACGGATTCATCCCCGGAGGGCAGGGACGGAGTCTAGCCCGTCCCCGCTTTCCCGGTGCCTCCCGCGGGCCCTGGCCCGCAATCAGGAGCTCCCCGTGGGCTGCAGGGAGTTGTGTGCGCGGAGCGAGGGCTTTGCGTCCGTCACGTGGGATGCTCTGAAAAGTGGAAAGAGCCAGCTCCCCTGTTATCTTTTTAATTCCTACCTAAAGCAGCCTGGGGAAATGGATCTCTGGCTCGGAGTCCGCCGGTCGGAGAGGAACAAAGCGTGGGACAGGCGCGTGTCCGGAGGGGCTGAGGCCGCGCTGCCGTCGGACCGTGGGGAGGAAAGACGGGCAGGAGTAGGCCCCGTTAGCGCCGCTTCAAAGCGAACTTCATTTCAGTTCCTCCTTTCAACAGCAATTAACGTGGCCATTTCGTGATTTATTGTTTAGGTGGAGTGAGTCCAACTCCGTATTATAAAAAAAAATAAGCAGGAATTTGGTGGTACAGAGGGAATTCTGGCAGGAATATTAAAGTCCTCTCCCCGCTTCCTTTCTACAACTAGAATCAAAAATCTCTCTCATCCCGCGGTGCGCGGCCGGGAGCCTCCCGCGGGCGGAGTCTGCACCGAAATGCAGGAGGTCCCTTGAGCCTGGACGGGCGAGGCTGAACACAGGGCTCGGTGCAATCGCTAACCCGGCTTGCGAAGCGGGGCGGGCTAGCTGTAGGACTC